AAAAAAAAAAAAAAAAAAGAAAAGAAAATTCTGTCTTTTTAAAAATTTAGGGCTTTTCCATGGAAAATCTACTAGAGGAGAAACTGAGGCAATAGAGACCACCAATGAGGTTTTTGACAGGCCAAGAAGAAAGGTTGCAGGTCTGTGTATGTTTTGCACACATATTAGATAAGGCTTCCTGATGGCCTACCCTTAGCGAAAGTGGGTTTTCCATCCCTGGGGTCTCACAATAAGGGAAGATTCTCTGCTCCTGAAGTGGGAAGCGCCTTATAACTATGCCCCTCCTAAATTCCTGACCTGCACCTCAGCCAGTAGACTGGTTCCTCAGCAAAGTAGATGTTCAGTTTGGCTGGTGAACCTCTGACTATAGACAGGCCAGGCTTTGGTCCCAGTGAGAGAAGAAAAGCCAAAGGAGCTGCAGGGCAAGTGACAAGCTGCACCCCATCTGCCCCGCTGGGACCTTCAAGCTCTGCCCCATCCCCTGGCCTCACAGCACTGGCTTTGGCCAAGTGCCTTGCTCTAGCCTCAATTTGAACTACCTCATCCAACTTAGCCGCCCACCATAGTTTCTCAGGGAGCCTGAACAGGATCCAGAGAAAGAACTGAAGTCCATCCCTGAGCTAAAGAGTAAAAAGCATCTTCACTGGCTGCCCTCCATAAGAAAGGAGAGAGAAATCGACTTGAGTTCCTCAAAGATGGTACCACTACCCAGCCACTCTGCGACTCCCACCAGTTGTGGCTTGCCCTCTATCCTTCCCTCTCTACTTTCAAGGGTTTAAGGGAGTGCACCTGGAGTTGGGAGCTCCTCTAATTCACACCTGGAAGGAGATTAAAGATCTCTTTTCAAAGGCCCCAGGCAACTCTCATTGTGCATTCTGGAAACTGTGGTTCCCCTGCCCAGCCCATGACAAAGCCAAGGCGGAGGGAGCAAGGATTTAGCTCAGTGGCGTGCACCTAGTATGCACCTCCACCTTGTAAGTGCAAGGTCCTGCGTTCAATGCTCAGTATGGGGGTGGAGGACAACAGTTCAGTGACCCAGACCAGAAAACAGAGTCACCAGAAGTCTTTCTGGTGCCTAAGAAAACCTGCTGACGACTGAAAACTGCCCTACATGCAACAAAAAGTTCAGCTGTCTGCTGTTATAGTAGAAATGTTTTAGTGAAAAAGCTTTAATTAGAATGCTCCACTCTCAGTGGAGTAACTCAACTCCATCGAACCATTCTAAAACATATTATCTAAACAAAGCCAACTTCAAGATCTGTCCCCTCACACCTCCCTTCAAGCAGAGAACCTGTAAGCCTTTCCTCTCATACTCATCTGAGATATACTGGGCTCTCACTACATGGCCAAGAATTTGTTAAAGTACTTTACACATGTTCAATAATTCATTCTTCAGGACAACACTCTAGGCATCTGTGTGACTTCAGGATATCTATTATCATCTTCATTTAAATTGCAGGAAAAGGCACAAAAGGTAATGTCCAGGGCTGGGGGTTTAGCTCAACCTGCCTCACAAGCATAAGGTCCTGAGTTCAATCCCTGGTACCAAAAAATATAAATAAATAAATAGGTAACATCCATGAAATATTTATGCCAATAAGTGGCAATGAGAAAGTTTTAATCCAAACAGATCTGACTCAAGAGGGCAGCTATCTAACCACTACATACTTCTAATTCCATGAAGTGTTCTGTGAATGTCAGCTGGGTGACACTTGCATGCCCATCTTTAACTAAGCATAAGAGTGAACCGTATCCCTAAAAAGCCCCCAGTCTCTATCTGCTGAATGACTTAATAAACATGTAGCTGTATTGAAAGACACTAGTTCTCAGTGCCATGCCACTGGCTCTGCCTTTCAGATCTTTCTGATTGTGCCAGGTCCCTAAATTCCTGCAGGTCTTTTAAGATGAACCAGGATCAGAGTTGTTTGTTTCATCAAGTTTCCCAATTAAGAACACTCCCTGTGTTACAGGGAACTCCCTCCAGAGAAGCAGCTTCTCCTTCTTTGGAGTACCCGGGGCTCAGACCAGCACCAGGACAGGCAGAACCAGTAGAGGGCTCTGGCTGGGCACGTGTAAGACCTGCACTCTAGGCCCCGATTTTAGGTCTCTGTGCGACTCTGAGAACATTCTTTCACTCTCCGGGTACTGGTTTCTGTGTGTGTAAAATGAACGTAGGGCTAGACTGAGAACGCCGTAGTCCTTCGCAGAGGTCTCCAAACTGGCTTCAGAAAGGTTAATTCTGCTCTCACCTGTCACCCCTTGTAGGGACTTGAGCACCGCGTCCACGCAGCTCTGACAGGTCATCTGCACGGCGAACTCCAGCTGCAAGGGCGTCAGACACCCGCCGATGAGGGCTGGGAGTCTCTGATGCGATCACTCCAATGCCTGAGACTTGCCCACACGATCCCTCTTCAAGTCCCTTCTTCATTATCTCTCTTGATTATTCCAGGACCGTAGTTTCATTCCCTCCCACCCACCCCCACTCTCTTGTCAAGGGCCCCGCCGGCCACCCTAGACCCTCAATTTCACCTCTCTGTCTCTGGCCCCGCCCCAGGTGCCTGCTTCTGCCAGACTTCCCAAGATAACAATCACCCCAGGGGCAGGGGCGGGGGCTGTGGCTGAAAAGACTCCCAACGAAAGCTCCATTCTCACCGTGCACAGGGTGCCGCGCTCCCCCGAGCCCGAAGTCATTCTAGGCCAAGTCACCAGCCCCCAGAACGCAACTGGAAAGGTCCAGAGGACAACCCAGTGCCGCGTCGCTGAGAAGACTGAGCCTCAGAAGCCACCTTTTGCCCCACCCCCTGGAGCGTGCGCACACTAGGTCCTGAAAGGACTTCCTCGCGGCTGCTGACAAGGGCTGCGCAAGCGCACTTGAGCCGCCTGGACCTGGTTGCCTTAGCAACTGTTTGGCGTCTTTGTCCCTGAGGGCGGGAGTCGAGGGCGCTAAAATGGAGGACCAGAAGCCAAGGACTGAACTTCAGAGGTTTTACCACCAGTTGCTGAGTCCACTGTCGCTTTTCCCGCGCAGGGCGACGCCCCCAGAGTTTTCGCAGCGCCGTCCAGAGGAGGTCTCGAGGTGGCAGACAGTACCGCTCGCTAAACTGAGGGTGGCATCGCTGTGCCACCAAGTGGCCAAGCTGCTGGCCAGTAGCGGGCTGACAGCACGGGTGTCTCCCAAGGACCGACTCCGTCTCACCGAAGTCATCCTGAACGAGTTGAAGTGCAGCTGGCAGGAGCCTCCTGCTGAACCTAGTCTTAGCTATGGGAACAACCAAAAGCTACGGAAGCGGCTCGAGGCCTATGTCCTGCTTAGTACTGAGCAGCTCTTCCTACGCTACCTGCACCTGCTGATGACTATGTCAACTCCCAGGGGGGTCTTCACAGAGTCAGCCATCCTCACCCGGTTGGCTGCCAGCCTTGCCAGGGACTGCACAGTCTTCCTCACCAGTCCCAATGTCTACCATTGCCTGCTCAAGGATTTCCAGGCACTGCTGAAGGTAGAACAGGCCCCTGACAACCTGGGCAAGCTACACCCCATCTGCCCCACTGGGACCTTCAAGCTCTGCCCCATCCCCTGGCCTCACAGCACTGGCTTTGGCCAAGTGCCTTGCTCTAGCCTCAATTTGAACTACCTCATCCAACTTAGCCGCCCACCAGAGTTTCTCAGGGAGCCTGAACTGGATCCAGTGAAAGAATTGAAGTCCATCCCTGAGCTAAAGAGTAAAAAGCATCTTCACTGGCTGCCCTCCATAAGAAAGGAGAGAGAAATCAATTTGAGTTCCTCACAGATGGTACCACTACCCAGCCACTCTGCAACTCCCACCAGTGTGGCTTCCCCTCTGTCCTTCCCTCTCTACTCTCAGCTCCAGAGAGGCCAGTCCCTGCCTTCTCTGCGTGAAGGCTGGATGTTGGCAGATGAGCTGGGCCTTCCTCCACTCTCCACTCGCCCCTTGACCCCATTGATTTTGGCTCCAGAGAGCAAACCAGAGCTGACTAGGGACATTGTGGCTGAGGATCTGAAGCAAAAGATGAAGAACATGAATTGGGAGTGGACTCACTACTCACCTTTGGACTCAGGTCTGCCCCGGCTCCTGGGCGCCGTGACCTGCCGCCCAGCTGCTGAACATCGCATGGTAGAGCTGCAGAAAATGTTGAAGAGGCTCCAGGAGGAAGAAGTCTCTGGACAGTGCAACCCTCAGCTCCCCAAATCACCTCCACTTCAACCACAGCCAGTGACCATTCCTTTGAAGCTAAGAAATCAGGCTGTGGTCCAGGTAGCTGCTATGCAGCTCTCTGATAGAAACTTTTTGGATGATTTCCATGTTGAGGAGGCTGAAGTCCTGTATAACCACCTGGCTGGTGAACTAGACTCCAAAGCCTTGGAAGAAATGGATGTTGATTACTATGTTGCCAATAGCCTCAAAGAAGTCTACAAGGAGTTAATGAGCTGTGTCTCTACTAACCACCTCTGTTTTGACCAAGGACCCCTAGTTGAAGCTGCAGCAGAGAAAAACTGGCCAACCTTCCTGTCCTCAGCTTTTCTATGTCAAGAAAAACAGTTTCAAATGATCAACCCTGACCTAGCTAGACTTTACTCCCAGAAAACAAACACTTTGGAGTCCATCCCTGAGAAGAAAGCTTCTCTCCCATCAACCCAAGCAGCCAAAGGCTGGGAGAAGCGGTCAAATAAGGCCTCCTGGATGAGCTGGTGGAAAAGCACCTTGTCTGTGGATGACTACTTCAAGTACCTCACAAACCAGGAGACAGATTTCCTCCATGTAATTTTCCGAATGTATGAAGAGGAAGTTCCTGTAGAGGTATCAGCCCCTGTCAGAGAGTCCCTAGAGATTCAACGTCCTCCTCCCTTGATAGAAGATGAAGAACCAGACTTTGTTCCAGGAGAGTGGGACTGGAGCACAGTGCTACAGCACAAGCTACAATCTGGGAGGCCCAATATCCTGAGTCTGCAGCAGCGTCTGGAACGACTGTGGTCCATGCTTGAGGTCCCCAACAAGGCCCGACTGGACATGGCTATTAAGTACAGCTCCAACGCCCGTTTGCAGCAGCTCCCATCGCTAGTGAAGGCCTGGGAGCAGGCTATGAGGTCCATTCAGCTTCGAGAGGTATGGCTGGGGAGACTGGAGGGGTTTGAGCAACAAGCTTCTGACCCCAACCGCTTCTTCCAAAAGACTGACTTGGACCTAAGTCACCTCCTGGAGCAAGATCAGTTCCGAAGCTATGTCCAAAAGCAGCTCAATAAAATGGAGCCACCTTTGGTTTCCCTTCTAGAGGAGATTGAACTAATCTTTGGTGAGCCAGTGATCTTCAAAGGCCGGCGCTACTTGGACAAGATGAAACGGGACAAAGTGGAGATGCTATATTGGCTCCAACAGCAGCGGCGGGTTCGAAATCTGATCCAGGCCCAGAAGTCCTCCCTCCAATCAGCCCCATTCAGGAGTAACAGCAGCCATCCTTTAATTGCTCCTGGGAATAGTCCCACTGACCTTTAACCAAGCCAAGTACCCTTAAGTCCCTCCCTCACCCGGAAACAACCAGTAGCTCATCTGACCTCTTAATGACTTTAGAAGAAGAAATATGGGTATCTCTATCTGGGGGCTCAGGACTCAGAAACGTATTTCCAACTGTAAGTGACTGAGGATAGGTCCTTGTTTTGACAGTGAAATTCTTATAAAAGAATCCCCATACCCAGTATTCCCATTTATGACAACAGCTTCACATAATACAAATAAAATCTCACATAGCTTAAGAACTGAGATGAACTTTCGAAATTTATTGTAATGGAAAGATCGCACAGAAAGAAATCATGATCTTTGGAACAACCCAGTTTACCATTCTTATCTCACAACATTTACTTGATGGTTAGACACCCAAATCAAAAGGCTCAATGGAAGATTAGTTAAAAGCTAGGGCTCCAAAGTTACTAGATACGGGTTTAAATCCTGGCCAAGTGATCTTGGATAAATTAGCTAACTTCTCTGCATTTGGATCATCATATGTCAAATGAAAAAGTTGGGTCCAGGTTGTCACTTCTTCCAGTTTTGTACCTATTGGTAGGGCTGGAATGTTTTTTTGGTACCGGGGCTTGAACTCAGGCCCTTGCACTAACAGGGCAGGCAACAGAACCACTGAGCCAAATCCCCAGCCCAGGGCTGAAATTTTAATTAAATGTTTACATTTAAACCAGGCTTGAGATCCTATCTCAAAAAAAAAAAAATAGTATTGACACAGTGACCCTGGATTGTGCCTGCTTTTGTCACAGGATGCCCCAGTGCTACTACTAACTTGAGGACTCTGAGGCTGGCTCCATGTATTGTACACAGCTTAGGCACTGTAGGAAGATGTGTGCTTTTTCATAGTTGGCAGCTGTTGTAAGACTGGGATATCTTCTTTTTTTTGGGGCTTTTTTGAGACAGGGTCTCACTATGTAGTTCAGACTGACCTGGAACTCACTGTGTAGCCCAGGCTGGTCTCGAACTCACAGCGATCCTCCTGCCTCAACCTCCCGAGTGCTGGGATTAAAGGTATGCACCCCCACGCCCGGCCTGGGATATCTTCTTGGAGACCACTTAACCCATTAGATGTTGAAGTGCGCCACCATATTCAAATGAGTATCCAAGCTCATTTTTAATATTTTCAGTAGTTTTCAAAAAGGGCAGTATTCCAAGCTGGGTGTGGTGGTGCATGCCTGTAATCCCAGCACTGAGAAGGCTGAGGCAGTGAGTTTGAGGACAGCCTGGGCTACCTAGTGAGTTCAAGGACAGATGAACTACATAGCAAGACCTTGTCTCAAGAGGGGGGCAGTAGAATTCCATTAACAGTAAGTCTCAGCAACTGTACAGTCTAAACATTGCTCAAAATATCCTCTGTATTAAAAGTTGTCATCCGAGCACAAGTTACCACAATACAGATTTGCTCAGCTACTTTATTGGGAAAACTGAAGTTGATGGTTATTACTCCAAACATGAAGAGAACTGCCACTGGGTGATTATGAGCCAAACGGTAACTGGCCAGCAGCATAACCTATGAACAAGTTTACTGAACTTTCAGGCCTTGGCAGCCAGAGAAGAACACAAATATACAGTGAATGAATTTTTTCCAGACTTATTCTGTATTGCTTATTTTAACAGATAACCTAAAAGTGACATAGAATAATATCTCCCACTCAAACTTAAATTGATATAATTTCTTTTGAAGTCAGTTCTCATTCTGTATCCTTCATTTTGTTGGATATAGAGTGGTGGCTGCTACAATTACAGTTGTTCCAATTTCAATCATTTTTCAGCAGAGCTTATTTTGATACCTACAAAGCTTGTATAGCTTCATAGAGCCCCTTGAAAATAACATACAGGAAAACAAGCCCTGAAGTTCCTTCACTGAACTTCTAATGCCATTCTGGAGCTTTTAAATTTTATTTATTTATTTATCTGTTTATTTATTGAAGTAGTGATGGTGCTAGGAACTGAACCCAGGACCTTCATGCTGAACTAATCTCCAACACTTTTTATCTTTTATGAGACAGGATCTCACTAAATTGCTGCATTGCTTAGGCTGGGCTAGAATTTTCAGTCCTTCTGCAGCAGCCTCCCAGAGGCTGGGGTGACAGGTGTGTGCCATCGTGTCCTGCTGGAGTTTCATAGTTTCATCTTTTATCTTCAGGTAGTCTAATGCCTGGTCCTTCTATGGACCCAGAAGGAAAGTCAAGATCTTTCTATGAAAGGATGAATCCATGTTGGTCATCAACTATTCTAGTTTATTCTAGCTCGTGGCTATTTGCATTTTTTGGCATATTTGTTCATTCCACTTTGTTTTGTTTTTTGAGACAGTCTTGCTCTGTAATTCAGGCTGGCCTTGAACTCACTAAGTAGCCCAGACTGGCCTCAAACTTTCAGTAATCTTCTTGCCTCAGCCTCCCAAGTGCTGGGATTACAGATGTGCCCCACTTTGAAAGTACCCAGACCCGGGGCCCACTTTCTAATTGATTTTGATTTTCTTGATTGTTCAGAGTTTTTTATATATTCATGATCTCCTTCTGTTGACTTTTTATAGGTTTGGTAAAAGTAGTAATAATGGTAATTAACATTCATCCATGCTTTACTGATTAAAAAATGCTTTTCAGGGCCGGGGATTTAGCTCAGTAGTACTGCACCTGCCTCACAAGTGCAAGGGTACTGGAAAAAAATGCTTTTCATAACTGCCTCACAGTTATGTAACTTGTAACTTGCCCTTAAAGTTCTGGATATTTAGGATGAGAAGTAAAATATCAAGCTGTAGTGGGGTCTTGCTCCATGCAGCTACAGGCCCTGTGCCATCCCAGCAAACTCAGGTGTGTTGAGAATCAACACTTTGCCAGCATCATGCTGATATTTAATCTTCACAACAATCCTGCAAAGAATGAAAAGATATCATCACCTCACTCTTAGAAACTGAACTCTGATAAATGGATGAAAATCATTCTCTAAATCACTGAGGCTTTTTCAGTAAGTTTTATCTTTGCTCAAGGCCAGAGGTAAAACTACAAGTTAGAAAAACAGTGAGTAATTCTGCCAAATGGTTATCTAGCTGCTAGCTGAGCAGATTGGCTGTAGTGATCTGGCTGCTCTGGGAAGCTGAGACACACAGAACTAAAGCCAAGGGCCAAAGGGCACACAGGTGCTAGTGGGGATGGGCTGGAGCCCAGGTGTAATACGGTCCACTAAACCACTAAGCCTCACCCCTTCCTGTCCCAGGGTGTTTGGTGTGGGGCCACTTTACGGTATTTTGTACTATTATTTTCCTTAAATTGACCCAATTTTTTTTTTTCTGTACCTGGGATCAAACTCAATACCTTGCTTGTGCTTGCAAGGCAGGAGCAGTACAACTGAGCTAAAGCCTAGGCCCCAAATTGACCCAATTTTAAACTTATTTAAATTGCACCCTTGTAATCTCAGCACTCAAGAAAGGTGAGAAAGGAAGATTTCAAGTTTGAATTCAGTCTAGGAAATTTAACAACTTAGCAAGACCCTATCTCAAAAAATACAGTGGACCCTTGACTCTGAACTAGATTGGTTCCTCAGGGCTGATTGTAACTTAAATTGGTTGTAAGTCAATACAGTTGAGAGCTGGATGTTTATCTGGGTACATGCTATAGATAACAAGAGGCAGATGAATCTTCCATTAACCTAATTAACCAAAGTTGTTGATATGCCAGGCCAGTCACAACTTGAGGGCTCACTGTAAAGCCAAGCACCTGTAATCCCAGCACTCAGGAGGCTGAGGCAGGAGGACCAAAAGTCTGAGGCGAGCCCAAACTACACAGTGAGACTTTGTCACAAAACAAAGCAAAACAGGACTGGGGATGTAGCTCAGTGGCACCTCATCTGCCTGGAAAGTGCAAGGTTCTGAGTTCAATCCCTGGTATGGGGTGTGGGGGGTAACTTAATTCTAAAAAGCTAGCTAAGGATGTAGCTTACTGTGAAGAGCCTAGTTTCAATCCCCAGAACCAAAAACATTTTTTAAAAAATCACATTTGTTCATACCTATCTAGTGATTATTGTCAGGTCTTCTCTATACACCTCCCATTGCAGTAATTCATCCAATACTCATGACAATACAATGAGATAGATACTATTAGTTCAAGGTCCAGATGAAAAAACCGAGACATGGATTGGTTCTATAACTTGCTCAAGTTCACACAACTTGGAATGTGGCACTCTAGATTCAGACCCTAATGGTCTGGCTCTAAATCCAAGCTCTCAACCACTATACTGTCACTTAATATAAGATATGGAAATCACCCTTTGAGGCCCATTGGAAGCAGCTGAATATGAGAAGGAAATCAGACTTTCTCCCAGACAACTTTATTTCTACCAATGACTAAGGCTTACATCATTCCCTTTTCAGGTTAACGTACATTCATGGAGCTCCTAAGTGACAGCCAGACACTATTTGTGTGAGTATGAGAGCAAGATCAAAGGAAACCAGAGAAAACCAGTCCCCATTGTCAAAGAGTTTAGGTTTAGCAAGAAAGATAATTTTAATAATATGCCAAGCAAAGGATAGGTCCTTCCACTAAGAAGACATTCCACAGAGCCTGGAGGTGCGGAGGGTGGTAAGGGAGAGCTTCCACCGCCTAAGAGGAGTCTGGATTCCACTCCAGAAGTTGAGTGGAGTTATGAGGCTCTTCTTGGCAAAGGAAAAATACTCACCTGGGACCTAAAATATGTCAGGATGATCTGTTCAACATTTTTGGCAAAGCTATGCTTTTTAAAAAGCCATTACCCACTAAATACAAAGGTCACTCAATGCCATTGAGTTAGGCATCATTTAAGTACATCCGGGCCAGGCATCTGGAAGTCCCAGATTTCATATTCATTGTCTGGGTGACCTTGGGCAAGGGATTCCGGCTCCTTTTCATTCATTCACCACTGTTTTTTTAAAGGGCTGGGGATGGAACCCAGGGCCTTGAAAGTACTAGACTGTCGCGAGCCAGCGACGCAGAGCACTGTCCAGCAGCCTCAAACCAGAAAGAGCAGCGGGGTGGAGATGGGGCAGACAGAAAGGAAGGACACCAAGACAAGAGTCTGATCAAGGTGACGTTTATTGCAGGCAAGCATCAACCTTTTAAAGGGAAAGACCAAACTACTATGGGCTAGGATTACCATAGTAACCTCAACACCCGCTCCACGGGAATGAGGGTTCACACGGGAAAGAGAAATCAGGCTCAAGAAAAACAAATTAACAACACTTGCAACTAATAA